ATTAGGTGGATCTACGCAGGTCAGCAGAGCAAAAACACGTTGGTGGGTTTCCGTCTACCACAAGCAGCACACAACAAACAGCAAAAAGTGTGGGAGGTTCACAAAAAGAGCAGCCCCTTTTGGGACCCCGTTGAAATCCTGCGCCCTGTGCCGCCTTTAAAGAGGGGTGTTTAAAAACGGTCCCTCCATGCAAGCATCAGAACTAACTGACCCACTCTGTACTGGCCCGCCCCCTGCAAACATCCTCCTGGATGCTTCAAGTCCAAGGGTCTAGTTGTACCCACGGACAATTCGCAAACCGAAAATTAGCGAGTCAGCTGGAATTCGGAGTTTCGGTCCAATGAGGTCCTTAGTGGGGAATTAAAGCCGAGGTGATTGTGAGGTCCAATGAGTCCCCTCAGTGAGGATCCTTGGGCGAATTCCTCACGATTCTCCATGTCCCGTGTGTTCTTCGCCTTGAGCTGCTTGGATTTGGAATCCCACCCTTGGACAATTTCTGGACATGGAGCCCTTTTGGCAGTTAAGTTACCAGAAAGCACCGATTTTGAGAAATCCTAATCTATGCAATGAGACGTTCTCCATGCAAATGAGCTTGTTTCCCTTTGGTCTCCCTTTAAAATCACCTCCAAAGAGGTACCTTCACAAAGAAACACACTTGGACCCTCACAAATCCAACCTGAACATGGGTTATGTCAACCCAAAATGATGGCTTGAAATTCAACTTGTTTGTGGGTAGTTCTTGCGAGTTCAGGCACATCTTTTTGGTCTGGTTCAAAAGGAAAACGACCAGGAAAACCGTAGTGCCAGTTTGGTGGGTCCAACTGTCATTCCAACTCATTCCCTATCGGACCAAGAAAAAGAAAAATGGCACGCTCAAATCCAGTCCAAGTAGCTGGTGATCACAAAGTACCGCGCATCCTCAGAGTGCACCGCCGCAGGTCTTCGGGATCCTTCGGACACCTCGGTTCGCGAACCGAGGTCCAAATGCTGGAGTTGCAACCGGTTCCGAAACCAAAATAGGCAGCGTTTCACCATGGTTTAGCTGGGAATAAACTATATCCATTTTTGAGTTGGAGAAGGTCGGACCAGTTTGGAATCCGAAAAGCCATTGGAATGTTCTTGGCAAGATATATGGGCCATTTCATGCGCCATTCAGCTGGAACATGAACTTTCGCAACATATGATGCTCATGGTGCTGCCTTTGGACAGCCACTGACAGAAAAACGGTCGGGACTCCTTTTCCGACCATGTCCTGTTCTTCATGTGTGCCATGCTCCGTGGACCAGGATCCTGGGTGAACTGTTGGCAAAGCAGAATGGTCCTAGATGCCCTAACTGTGCATTCCCCCAATTGCTGTCTTGCAAAGGGAGGAATTTGGCAAGTGCGGCATCCAAAATCAAAATGACTTTTTTGGATGACCCTTGAGTGGATTGGCCAGAAAAAAGTAACAATTGTTTACTTGCCACAAAATTGGTTCACAAAAAGTTTCAAGTCCAGGAACTCAGGAAGTGAGTCAAAGACGACCCCCCCTTCCGCTGGGAGCGACCCACCACCCCTCTTTACGGCCCCCGCGTCGAAGGGTGAAGGGGCTGCATCGAAGGGCGAGGGCCCTGCCAAAAAGGCGCCGCCCAAAAGCATGGGCTTGCTGTAGTCGTTTGGTGGGTTCATCGTTGTTTTCGGAAACTAAACACGTGTTTTCCTTGTTGACTTTCTGGAAATTGTCAAACAACTCCTGACAAAACTCCTTTGGCTCCTATGGCAGCTGTCATTTTGCTTACGGGATGTCGGTGGTCATAATTCCCATCGGAATCCTTGCCATAGCCCAATGGGGTCGATTACCATCCCCAACCCCCAAGCAAAATTTGAGTGTTGAGACTCACGCGTTGACAGCCACCATTGCTCACGTCGGAGGAATCAACCTCACGGATTCATGGGATTTCCACTTATGGGTTGCACGCCATATAAACCAACCAGAGGTTCCCAAACTGCTTGGTCCCGGTTGGCTCCCCGAACCGAGAAAGCGGATGTTCTGCTCAAGCTTCCGACAGGTTTTGGCCGATTTGCCTAAGGTTTCCCGGAACGTATCCAGCCCAATGTGAGAGAAACAAAATTCGATTCTGAGTTTGCCACGTTCTGCATGCCAACAACATGGGTCCGACGGCTCTGTGCTTTGCTCAAAGCAACATGAGGCTCCTCATGAATAAAATGCCATGAAATGCCTGTAGCATTATGAAAACACTCATGCGTTGCGCCGATTCGCTCAAATCTGCAGGGCGCTGGCGCGAGATGCAAGCGCATGTTAATCGTGAAGGCGGCTCGCTTCTCCGAACTGAGATGTGTAACCAAACAGCACGCAGAACGGACACCAGATTGGTCTACGCAAGGGTTTCCCGTGAACAAATGAGATCAAATGAGATTGCACCAGTCAACACCATTGCACAACGCCACGTTTTATGTTGGGCGCCTAACAATGTTTGTCACAAAAGCGAACCTCGCCGCTGACCTGCAACCACGTAAAGATCATACCGTGGATGTACCTAAGAAGCCCTGATTTCCAAGGATTCCCCTGTAAATACCAACAAATGTTGCTTCAACCATCGTATGAAATGGATTTCGCAACCATGCGCGGTATGATCATCAAGCTTTCTGCTGAGGCCGTCCAAACCTTCGGGAGGGAACCAGGCGATTGCCCCGCCTGCTTGAGGCTCGGCATCCTGCCGTAGGAAAAAACACGTGGTGGTTTTCTCCCAACCAGCTCTTGGGGAAAACAACAGATTCAACGTGTGCCTGTGAGTACATACAGGTGTCAGTTGTAAGTACATATACATGCCTCAAGTGGAATTGTTGTTTCGAGACTTCTCACATTCGGTTTGGAGTCGGATGCCAGGACGCTTCCTAGAGATGCGTCAGTTATTTCAGCCTTTTTTGCCATAGGGGCTGAGGCAGTTCGTCACCTGCGGTGCTCTTGAGAGCTTCTTGGTCCATTGCTGAAGGAAAAGAGTGACGGAGAGGGAAATCAACAGCATGAAAGGAGGAAGGAAAGAGAGATGAACATGATATGTTTGCTGCACTTGACTGTATTTGTAGCATTTATAACATCATCTACAAATATCTACATGTGTATGTAACAATATATATTTATATATCCTAAATGTAGATTACCCTCCAGAAACACCCGGCCGTGGGTGCAAGAATGCACCTCTGGCTATGCAACATGCTGTTGCCCGGGCAGCCCTCCACAGCAGCTCCGCAAGCAGCTCCGCAAGCAGCTCATGCAGGGTATGGAGTTTGCATCTCAAAATATCAGACTGGCTTTTTGGCTTAAGGAAACGAAAGGAGCCTCTCTGGACAGCTCCCCTTTTTCTAGAAACACCAATGCGAATAAACACCCCGCGCTATAATACCTCACCAATGTGAATTCTGTAGGGAGTGCCAAAAACAAGTATCTTGTGTCCTCGTTCAACCCCCTCTCCCAAGACTTCGTGCAAAACGAGCTCTCGCTCACCTCGCCTTTGGCGCGCGTTTGCTGAGGGCCTTTCCCGGCCTCAAGCGCCAGGTTGCAAGATTGGATTGCACAGCCGATTCGGCCGCCTTCAAAGGCAATCCCGAAAGGCTATTGATGGTTTCAACGTGTTGTATCCAGGGGTTACGGTTCGCCTAACCCTGTAGCGCAAAGGCATGTGGGCAGAGGTAACTCTTAGCGGAGTCCTGACCCAATGTGAAGGACCTAAAGCAACACCTCTCTATGGCCATGGCACACAACACGCCCCGCCCCCAAACAATAGTCAACCTTGTGACAGATATGCAATGTCCCCCCCGGATTCTGTTCTTCTTAGATTCTTGCTGGTGAGTTCTTCCTCATCTGTCCAACCCTTAGTATGGTAGCAACAAACTATGTCTTTTGCAACCCCCTACTGAAAGTGAACAGAACAAAAAACAACAGAAACTAAAAGCATGGCAACAGCAGTGAAGTCACATGATTTGTTTAATCCAACCAACAGGCAATTCCTTCGTTTCCGAAGCCGAGACTTGCATGCCTAACCAACGGTGGCAAGGGTTCCATTTGGCTCCCCTTTAAAAACAACACCAAAAGACTAAGAGCAATTGCCTTTAAACACACACACACACAGGTCAGTTAATTTGGGAGGCGAGTTGAGCCGTTGGGGGGCTGGCCGTTGATCAACGGAGCGACACCTGGAACTTGCCACTGGACGACTGTCCAAGGGGGATAACGGCTGCTTGCTTCTCAGGCCACCTCCCCACATCAGCCTCACTCCACAGAAAGGACCCAGTACCTGTGTATGGGGCAACAAAAAAACTGAAAATGCCCGCAAAGTCCACACGCCCTGGAAGCAAGTTTGTGGCACTGTATTTCTCGTGCGCCAAGCTTATTCTGAGCCCGGTACTGTACTTCCCGGCCCCACATCAGTGTGGGGGGATATCGGACAAGCGTAAGTGATCCGCTGGGTCTCAGGAAAAGTTCATGGTGCCACAGCTGAACGGATGAAACCTACAAGCAAAAAGTATACAGTTTGCAAACTCTGGTGAATAATGCCGAGCCCAAACCAAGCTGTGGCTGAACCAGATTGCAAGGGCCCGCGCTTCGCCACGTTGGCGGACGGCATGGCGATACCCGGAGAAAGAACAATCACACGCCCCGTGGAAAGTGAAGGAAGCAGTGGATTGCTTGATCAACAGGTGGAATCTCTGGTGACAAGAACCAACAAGCGCTGGCTCATGCAACAAACCCGAAATGCAGCAAACCCGAAATGTCGAGTATTGCTTCACTCAATGGGTCTTTCCAACCCCCCCAAACAAAAGATTGGGCATGGAGCTCTGGCGCAAAGGGCGCAACGTGGTGCTTGGTTCCTTCATTTAAAATGTGGCGAGGCCCTTGAGCCAAAGGATTGTCCGGCCATCGCCCGGAAACTGACAAAGACCAGGAAGCACTCAGGGCAAGCGATTCAGTACTGAAACCACCCGAAGAGGGCAACCTTTTTAGACACCGGACCTACGTGGCTTTTCATCAAGCAATCAGGCGCACCTTCATGCGTCACCCGACTTGGCCAAAAATGGCAAGGCAGTCCGTGGCCCTCGCGCGAGGCGAGGACACTAGTAGCCAGACTGCAAAACGGAACCGAGCTTTGAGCAGTAGTTGCCAAAAGTTGCCAGCCTGTGTGGCAAGCCGCGGTATGGTACAGAAAAAGAACCTGACGCAATGCCGGACTCAGAGCGACCACAACCCACTAAACCGCGGGTCCTGCGGAATGTCTACGGCGAGCTGAAGCAGCTGGCATCAAGGACTATCTCGCATGAACAGGGAACTTGAGGGCTGAACAGTTGCTTTTCTTAGTGGATGTCTAAATTATCAGGGAGGTACCAAGTGCCTCTCATGTAAGCATCAAGCAACGCGGCCGGGTCCTTGTCATAGTGGCGTGGGTTGTGCGAGAAGGGGCGATTCAGGTTCATCCAGCCGTCGATCCTCAAAGGAAGGACACATCTCCACACATTCAGCTCAACTGTATACATTTGAGTGGTGTAAGGGAATGAAACCTGCACAGTGCTAAGCAACCCTGAAACCTGCTGCCCTCGCCCTTTGCGACGAATGTGTGGCTGTGTGCCTGTGCGGTCTTGGGCTTGAAGTGCTTCGGGTTCAAACGGCGACAGGCAGCGTTATTACCTGGAAACTGATATGTGCCGTTGTTTGTTGTTGTTCTTTTGTGTGTTTCTACGGCTTGAGCCACAATGAATGGCCATACGGTCGTTTGCGGCTTCTTGTCAACATTTGGTAAAACAATTGTGGGCTGCATATGGCCAAATCCGGCCACCGGCCAGACAAAAATAACCGTACAAAGAAAAACGATCCACCTTCAGTTTCCCTCCATGTGAGGATGAATAGGCACGGGCGCCTGCCAAAGGGTGATCCGGATCCAAAATGAGTCAAGCCCTGACACACTTACCCTCCCTCTCATCACGGGCTAAAACAACTTTTTTTTTGCTGAAGCTCCCGGTTTTCCACAACTGACAGCAGTGACTTATAGTGACTTAGTGGGGACAGTGGAGTGATATGTTTGAATGGTGGCTTAAGGGAAACACCCCCTCAAGTAATTTGGAGAACACCTCAAATGTCCACTTTAAGGTGTGCTGGGCATTTCAAGAACACCTCCGAATATTCGCTTTGAGGTTTTTTGACTGTTTCGAGAAGCCCTCCAAATGTTCAAGGTTTACTTGACATTTTTCTAGAAATGGCTATGGGTCAAAATTAAACCACCAGAGACCGCAGGGTTTAGTCCATGTTTCCATTTACTAGGGTTGCATTGCGGTGCCTATTTTTGACCAGCCAAATGGCGGGATGTCGGTCTCCTGGGGTCCCGGCTGTTGCGCTTTGCCCTCCAGCGCCAGGTTATCCCGCACCTGAAGGAATTGGATCAGCTTGGGCCGCAGCTGCCGGAAGTAGACATAGGCCTCTCTCAGGCACGATCTACACTTCCAATAAACATCACCCGAAACGGAGAAACAAAAATAGGAGGAACCCCTGAGTGCTTCCAGTTGCTTACGGCCTAGGGCAGGAATAAATTGGATACGGTGGGGGGTTCAACTAAACCAAATTACGCAATGACAGGCGAGTAGCAATGTGTGTGTGCGTGTGTGCGTTCCTCTGTTCGGGCCTGTGTGGCGGGTCTCTCTGACCTGTGTGGCGGGTCTCTCTGACCTGTGTGACTGCGTGCGTTTCTGTGTGTGTGTGTGTCTGAGTAGTGCGTCTGTGTGTGTGTGTGTCAGCATGCCTGTGTGTGTGAGCCTGTGCGTGTGCGTGCGCGCTTGCGCGCGTGCGCGCGCGCATGCGTGCGTGCGTGCGTGTGTTGAGTGTTGTGTGTTGTGTGTTGTGTGTGTGTGTGGGTGTATGTGTATGTGTATGTGTGTGTGTGTATGCGTATGTGTTTGTGTGTGGGTGTGGGTGTGAGTGTGAGTGTGAGTGTGAGTGTGTGGGTGTGCGTGTGCGTGTGCGTGTGCGTGTGCGTGTGCGTGTGCGTGTGCGTGTGCGTGTGCGTGTGCGTGTGCGTGTGCGTGTGGTGTGTGTGTGTGTGTGGTGTGTGTGTGTGGCGGGTGTGTGCGTGTCTGTGTCTGTGTCTGTGTCTGTGTCTGTGTCTGTGTCTGTGTCTGTGTCTGTGTCTGTGTCTGTGTCTGTGTCTGTGTCTGTGTCTGTGTCGGTGTGTGTGTGTGTGTGTCTGTGTCGTTGTGTGTCTGTGTGTGTGTGTCTGTGTATGTGTGCGCGTTTGTGTGTGTGTGTCTGTGTGTGTACGTTTGTGTGTGTGTGTGTGTGTCTGTGTATGTGTGTGCGCGCGTGCTTGCGCGTGCGCGTGCGCGTGCGCGTGCGCGTGCGCGTGCGCGTGCGGCTGCGCCTGCGCGTGAGGGTGCGCGCGTGCGTGGGTGGGTGCTTGTGTGTGTGGGTGTGCGTGTGCGTTTGCGTGTGCGTGTGCGTGTGCGTGTGCGTGTGGTGTGTGTGTGTGTGTGGTGTGTGTGTGTGTGTGGCGTGTGTGTGTGTGTGCGTTTGTGTGTGTCCGTGTGTGTGTGTGGCGTGTGTGTGTGTGTGGCGTGTGTGTGTGTGTGGTGTGTGTGTGTGGTGTGTGTGTGTGTCTCTGTGTGTGTGTCTCTCTGTGTGTCTCTGTCTGTGTCTTTGTCTGTGTCTGTGGTGACGTGTGTGTGCGTGTGTGTGTGTGTGTGTGTTTGTGTGTGTGTTTGTGTGTGTGTGTCTGTGTCTCTGTCTGTGTCTGTGTCTGTGTCGGTGTGTGTGTGTGTGTCTGTGTCTGTGTCGGTGTATGTCTGTGTGTGTATGTGCGCGTTTTTGTGTGTGTGTGTGTGTCTGTGTGTCATGTGTGCGTTTGTGTTTGTGTTTGTGTTTGTGTCTGTGTTTGTGTTTGTGTTTGTGTGTGTGTGTCTCTCTGTGCGTGCGCGTGCGCGTGCGCGTGCGCGTGCGTGTGCACGTGCGCGTGCGTGCGCGCGTGCGTGGGTGGGTGCTTGTGTGTGTGTGTGTGGTGGGTGGGTGGGTGGGTGGGTGGGCGGGCGGGCGGGCGGGCGGGCGGGCGGGCGGGCGGGCGCGTGGGTGCGTGGGTGCGTGCGTGCGTGTGTGGGTGCGTGCGTGGGCGTGTGTGTGTGGGTGTGTGTGTGTGTGTGTGGGTGTGGGTGTGGGTGTGGGTCTGGGTGTGGGTGTGGGTGTGGGTGTGGGGGTGGGGGTGGGGGGGTGGGTGGGTGGGTGGGTGGGTGGGGGTGTGTGTGTCTGTGCATGTGTCTGTGCGCCTGTCTGCCTGCCTGCCTGCCTGCCTGCCTGCCTGCCTGTCTGTCTGTCTGTCTGTCTGTCTGTCTGTCTTCTGTCTGTCTGTCTGTCTCTGTCTGCCTGCCTGCCTGCCTGCCTGCCCGCCTGTCCATGTCTGTGTGTCTGGGTGTGTGTGGTCTGTGTCGGTGTGTCCAATTATTTAGCCCCATTTAATCTGCCATTTTGTCCGGTAACCAAGGGGGGTAGGAACGGGGTGCAGGTCCCCGTCCAATTCAAGGGTGTTTGACTCCCTATCAGCATCTCCAACCCACAACCTCAAGCCCTTGCCGTGGGTCTCTCATTGGCCAGCCCGGTGCTGCTCAGTTTCCATGGCCAGGTTCATCTTTTCACGGCCCCATCAGTCAACAACCAGCAGCTTCTTGACCCGGCGCAGGTTGCTGAATTTCCACTGTGCTATTTCGGGGCCAAAGAGTATTGCTGGATGTCTTCGCCATCCTCACTTCCACCCCGCTTCGGTTGTTGATGCCCTATGCTTCCTGTTTGCTTTTGTTCTGTTCCTGCCGGAACATGTGTGTGTGTGTGTGCCGAGTTTCAGATCACACTGGAACCATGTGTAGATTGCAGGGGCGTGCGCTCATCCTTATAGATGCGAGAGAAAGCAAAATCTGCCAAGTTGGGTTGCGCATAGCATTTATAACCAACCATTGTTTGAATTTGACCATAGGGTGTTGAAGCTTTCTACATAACCAAGGGCGTGCTTTTGGTTTTAATAGATTCCCAAACTTGCTGGTGCGACAGGCGGGGAATGAGAGAATATGAGGGAATCACCCTATAAACCCCTATGATTTCCTTTCTTCGCGAATCTCCGGGTTCATTCCATTTCTCATTCCCTAGTAAATACCAACAAACAATGATGATTCCCCTGTAAATACCAAAAAACAATGTTTTCAACCATGGCTTCAAAGTGGTGCGAAATGGACTTCGTCCAGCCAGAGTAGGGATGATCCAGGGGATCAGGTAAGTAGGCTCTACACCTATGAACCATCTCTTTTGCGTAACGGCGTGTTCATCATACCAACAAAGTGGTGCAGTAGTTTCCCTAGTTTGATCATCCGAATTTGGTCAACGGGTGGGGCCGTACTTTAGACCGGAGCACCCGAGCACGTGCGCGCCTGGTCCTTCCAGGTGCCACTGCTCTCAGCCTGGGCCTGGGTCACAAAGACACGCAACCAACATCCCCACCCGAAAATTTCGGGAAGGAAGGGAGTGGGGGTCCCCACATTTCTCCAGTATTCCCCGCAGGGAAAATAGAAATGGAATTCCAGGGGGTCTCCCGGTCCCCCTCCCCTTGCCTCCTCCCCCCCAAAGGGATTCGCCTTGACGGTCGCCTCCACCAAAGACAGCGCCGAAGTAAAGTTCTCGGCGAAGCCAAAGCGTCGCCTCGGCATCAACTCAGTTGGAAGGCATATATATATATATTTATAGATATATATATATATACACATACATATGTTCCAGGCTGTGGACCCCCCGCTACCTTTGGAAGGCGGGGGTGTTGGTGGCCTGGGGACTGGAATACGGGGGCAGTGATCTGGGGGTGGTTCTCAGTCATAGAAATTTGTGATTTGGATTGGTGCTTGGAGGAACCACTAAGCAAGGGTTACCTGATAATGTGTGTCGCAAAGAACGGAAGAAAACACCATATGAACCGAAACGGCTCCAAACACAAATGCCGCAAGCAACTAATCCTCCCGTGCAAAGAAGTCATCAATGGGGAAGTGCTGCTGCCCAGTGGTAGAACAGAAGTGGACTCCATTTGCCGAAATCCTGGTGCAGCTCCATCTGCGACGAAGCTGGCGCTTTTCTTCTTTTCTTTTATTCTTTTTTGGGGGGTTAGATCAATTCCCAAACGACCTGATGGGTCACCAGGCCTTGTTGCCTCACCGTTACTTGGCTTCCAGTGCGGTTACCTACAATAGTGGCAGCTGCAAGCACTGGGATTAAAAAATCCGTTGAGACCCCCCCAAAAAAAAAGACACACACACACACACACGCACACAACGGCTAGTCTCCCTCGAAAGGAAAACCACATGTATTTATCTACCCAGAATCCATCTATCCATCTCTCCACTGCCTGTCTGTATGTCTGTATGTCTGTATGTCTATCTCTCTGCCTCTCTGCCTCTCTGCGTCTGCGCCTCTGCCTCTCTGTCTATCTAATAATCCACCCACCTACCCATAATCTCATCGAATCTATTTAACCAAGCACATCACACCCCATCCTCCAATCCCATGCTTTGAAGGGTGGCTTGCAACTCATGCTTTCGGCTTCCTTCCACCTCTCATTTGGGCATGGGTCAACATTAAGCCACCAAAATGCTTCAGGTTGCGGTCCATGTTTCGCTTTTTTTCAGGGTTCCATTTTGGGTACCGGTTTTTGACCCACAGCCAGTTGAACATGCTCCGAATCCCTCGGGAGCCCATGGGGCGACCGAATGACTCATTGCCCCACAGCCTTGTGCTGGGTGAATTATAAGACTTCACCAGCCTGAAATACGGTGCTTCGTGAGCTATTCCCCACATAAACCAATTACCATTTGGGGTGAATTCGGCCGTTGTAAATTCACCCAGATTCGTTGGCTCCGGATGCAATCCACGCTGAGCGGCAGCTCCGAGAAGCCGTCGCAGCCCGCGGAGTAGATCTCCATGTCCTGCACTGCCGCTGTCAGCCTGGGCTGAAGCCGAAGAGCCCCGGAAAAAAAGCTCAGACCGAGTCTTGGCTTTGGAAAAGCCATGGACCCAACAGGCCGCACTGTTGTTGGTTTTCTGTTTTTTGTTTTTGCTTTGTTTTTCCCGGAGTGCCCTGTCTTTTTCGGAGCTGGTAATATTATCCTGGTCTTTTATGGTTTGCAAGGAGAGAACATGAAAAACCACCCATTTTCTGAAAACGGACGCACCCGGAAGGTGTCAGGGGCGATTCACACCAACCAGGCGATATATTTGTGGGTATGCTTTTGAGGTGGACTGACTGGAAACATATTTACAGTCAGCACCCTGCTTGTTTTTTAGGGGGGAGCCAAAAGGAAAACCGACATCCAGTTTTGGGGATCCCGTGTTCTTCTTTTTTGCCACATTCCCAATTGAACCCCACTTCAAGGAAACTCACGATCAAGTGGCTCAGCAGTCATGGGTCATATATCAAAAGGGGAAATATACGGAGCCCTGATGGACAGCAAAAGTGCCCAGACGTCGAATCAAGTTTCGGTGAAAGCCAGAGGCCTTGCCAGAACAAACATTGACCTGGAGTCTCCTTCTAACCCAAAATGGGAATCCAGAACCCCTTCCCTTCAACCTCCATCAAAATGGTTGACCCAATTTCGCCAATGACAATCCTTAGGTAAACAATCATGGTTGTATGAACCCCAATTATTTTTTCAGAGTTTAAAACCCAAGCTAAATGTCAATAGTGACCCCTCCATTTTTGTTAAGGGTCAGAAGGAGACTTCGGTAGAAAAACTGCGATTCTGATGGAATTCGGATCAAACCTTCGGGTACCGTGTCTCAACTCTGGAACCTCGGTTGCGAGTCCGCGAGTCTCGCAGCACCAACTGAAACCATGGTTGAAACCGTCGCTTGTTGCTATTTGCAGGAAGATTCGAATCGTTCCTTTGGGTTTCTGAAACGGTGCTGCGAACTGGCTATGAACTTTAATAGGGTACCACCTCAAAAGAGGTTGGTGGACGTAAATCCCCCTAGAGGACGTCCACCAAAGGGTCCCCCACTTGAAATTGACAGGTTCCCCCTGAAAAAAATCCGCTCAGCGCCATGGTTTGCCTCGGGGAACCCGGTAGGACAGCGCTGTTTTGGGTTTGTTTGAGGCCAGGGCGCAGCACGGAAAGAACGGAAGCGACTTCGTGCGGCAGATACTCCTCGGTTGCTTTCTGCTCCCCAGCTAAAAGTTTAAAGCTTCTAGTGGTTGAATGGAAGCATAAATCCACTAGTGGGAAAATCCGTTAGTCTAATGGACAACTCCTTTAACTTTTACTGGTTTGGATGGTAGTGGAAAACCCAGTAGTTGGCCAAAGGTTAAAGTCCTAACATTTTTTGGCCAAATGCAGCAAAGACTCCACGGAGAATGCCACGAACTCCCGGACCGGCTTCAAAATGGGGGACTCGGGACAGAAATGGATCAAGACCTGCAGAACTGCAAGCTCCGCGTCAGCTTGTAAAGCTCGGCCAAAGTCCTTGCCAAGAAATAGTTGGTGAAGCTCAAGGAGGGTTTCCTCTCAACCAAGGGTTGCCTCAAAGAGAACACAGAGTCACAGAAAAGCAACAATTTTCCAGACTGCCACTGCCACTGAGAGTCGGTTGCATCAATGCTCTCCAGCAAAGCTAGCTCCAGTTGAGCGGCATTGAAGTCTTCTTCGCTTCTGGGGTTGCTGGGGCAATACTTCTGGAAAGCTCCGGGTTGAATCTCCTTGATGTTGAAGCTGTGCCACCATTGAGCCCAAACCAATGTAAGCACTTCTTCCTCATCCGTTGGATCCATCCCCACCACGTCATCCTGCTTCAACTGCCTGCCGTCTGCGCCTGGCAAGCCACTGCAACAGACACACAAACACAATGCTTGCAACAAATACGGCTAATCAACCAACCAAGCAAGCAACCACACTAAGCAAACAACCAAACAACCAAACAACCAAAACCAACCAAGCAACCGCATCCAGACAGCCAGCCAGCTAGCAAGCCAGCCGCACAAACCAGCAAACGCTAATGGCAAATCAGTGTAGCAGGCATCCTTACATTATACACCTGAGCATTGCCTTGTAAATGGTGGTTTCCCTTCATTTTGGCGCAAAAAGCCATGTTTCAAATGGGCAAAATGTGTCTTTTTAGGAGCCCAGTACAAGGGGCATTGTTTGCCATCCAGTTCCAAGTGATTCGCCGAGGCACGAAGAAAGGTAGGCACCGTGCTGGAATGCCCTGGCGTGACCTGGAAGCAAAGCATGGGGCTCGCAGCAAGCAAAGCAAACTAGCCGACCAGCCAGGTACACTGAGGGTTTTCCGGTGTCCCTTTTTCGATTTGTGAATCGGCATCAATCCCAGTGGTGAGGGAAATGGGGATGGACTATGCACTGAACTTAGCCACAATGATGTGGCTTGTGGCAATCACGGCGATTCTTCACCACCCCGGATCAAATGACTGGAAAAGAACCGCTTGAACCCGCATTGTGAAACCCTGTCGGACCGGATTGGCCGTAGGCGCTGACCCGTTGCCTCTGGGCACGGGCGAGCAGTGTGCGATTTCCAGGCCTTCATGGTCTTCAACAAATAGGCTCGTCCGTTGGTGCGAGCGATCCGAACTCTTTCATTGGACTTGAGGAAACACCTGGACCTAAATCACACTGGACATGACCACGCGTCAATCGTGGTCCTAAATATACCCGTAACCACACCAACCCTTCCAACGCAGTTCCCTTCATCATAGGCTTGCACGAAAACAGCTACACCTCACATGCCACTTCACCCGCATCCTTCAAAAGACACAGAGGAACACACATTGTTGCTCCACGCCCCCCGAATTAGGTCATCCCCATCGTCAGATCCACTCATTTGCTCCCTGAGTGCCAGCCACGCTGTGAATTTCAACGGTTCACAATAACAAAATCATACCCACGTTGAGATCGCTTTCATGTACCCCGGCCGGTTTGGGGTGCCATTTCTGAGCAAAAGAAAGGCACCCCCTCAAAGCGAGATTCTACACATTCAAAGGGGTTCGTTTGAAAGGATGACCAATTAAACAGAAGCCAACTCTCGGAAACTGTAGCCCATGTTGAGGCCGCAGGCGTGTCCGGCGTGTTCCAACGCAACAAGCTTGGAAAGCCGAGCTCTCTGGATGTGCTGGGTGATTGAGACCCATGGTTCACTCGTGCAGGACAAGCAATGAACCAGGCTGCAGCAAAATTAAGAAGTGCTGCGCTAAACCAGAAAAACACTCAGAAATGCCAGAAGGGTCCTGCCATCGCCGCCTTGTGAAGCCATCTCAGAGGCAAAGCCCGGTGAATTTATAATTGTTGCAAAGGGAAACCTGACAAAAGACGAGACTCATGTTCAGAGGTCCGCTATTTGGCTTTTGCTCGACCCAAATAAGATGTGTCACTCTGGCCCAGAGGTCAACCAAAAACTTCGATTTTTACATCATGTCAACCCAAATCGCAACAGGGACTCGGCCCCCCATAGTTGCCTTCTCAGCTCCGCCAATGTCGGGGCTTTCCGATTTCGGGGTTCCCAAAGTGGGCTGGGCCACGGCAAGCCCCTATAAACCAGCTGCTGGCTTCCTTCAAGGAAGGGTGCTGGTCCAAAATCCCGCAATGTCAACGGGCAAGGTAAAATCTTTGCACCTGAGGCCTCCCTCTCGGTTTCAGCCCTGGTTTCCCAAGTGATCTCAGGATCTCTGCTAGACTCCGAAAACCATAGCGATGCCCAACCAAAAGGTGGCCGACTCATGTGCCTCCGCCCCTCCCGCGGTTTTGGGTTTGGGGTATCTGTCTGGGATGTGTCAACATCAGTCAGGGGACCGTCAAGAATGTGGTTTTGACCTTCTTGCTCCCCCTGTACACCAAGCAAAAAAGGGTCGAAACATCTGATGCGCCTGGGCGTAGAGATCCAGCACGCGGACCTTGCCCGGCGCTTGAAAAGCCAGCTCCCCGCTGGCCTGGACGATCCGCACGCCTCGAGAAGGAAGGGACATGGAATCGGACCCGACGCACTGGAGCCGTTTACCCGAAAAGGCGAGCCCAATGGAAGGCTTCATGTTGCCCTTTAAAACCACGCCACATTTGCCCCCCAAGAGAAGGAAAAGCTTAAGTCTGGTCACGGCGCGCTCGTGTTCCCACAAACAACTGACGCTTTGAGGACAAAGGGCGTAAAACCCAAACAGCAATACAAACGCAAATCGCCCAAATGGGCGCGCGGGTGTTCAGCCCTCAGGGCCGGGAAGCGGTCAGATGGGGAATTATGTATTCCAGCACATGCAAACGAGCGCCGCGACGTCCAGGTGTCATTTTCGAACACTGGGGCACGGGGCCGGGCAGGTGGGCGCCGGAGCGCGCTATTCTCGAGCATCTCAATGAGCTTCGCAGCATCCAAAAATATTGAGATGCTTGTGCATCATCTTCGGATTCTGGGGCAGGTAGTAGGCCGGCGGGCGAGCGGAACGCAGTGTGCAGGAATGCGTGCGTACCAGGCAAGGCATCCTACGTGTATGGCTCGGATTTTAGATGTTGGACGTTTTCTTCACACTGAGCCAGCCTCACTCGTTCAGAACGATGTTCTTCCGGCCGCTCTTCGGATGTTGCGCAATATCAATGCCGAGTAAATTGCAAAGGGTGAACACCCGAGCAAAATGTATGCTGCTGTTGAAGACGTGTCACAACGGATTGCTGATTGGCGCAATATTCCATTCTTCAACGCCTTTACACTTCATAAGAGGTTGACCTTCACAACTTCTGCACCTGCGGTTCTTGCACGTAGGCGACCAATCACAGCATCCCCCACAAAACCCCGCTCGCCCTGTAATCAGCCACCCAAACGGCTCAGCCCTGGCATCAATTGCTCAAGCCCGCATTGCTCTTGTGGCTCTTTTGAGCCTGGCCGAGGCGGGCAGCGGGCCGCAGTGCAACATTTGCAACTAGGGCGCCGCAATGCTCGGTTTCCACTTCGTCGATGCTGCTTCGTGATGCTGCTCTTGGCTTGCTGGGTCCCTTTAAAGAGGAGCCCCAAACTAGGCGGCGGGGAGTTCAGGAAAAAGGCCAGAGTCATTGCTTAAGGTTAACCTGCTAGGCGACATTTTTGTTTTTTAAGAACAGCTTAGTCATCGGGAGCTACATCGACTGCGGAAAACATCCCATGCTCAGAAATTTGCACCCCCAAATTGTGTTCCTGAAGGTCACCTTCATTACAGTAGTGGCTGACCTTCATTGCAAGGCTGAATCGAGAGAACTTCCAAAAATGATTGGCTTCCTGTTGGTGCCCCTGAAGGTCACCCCAAAAAAAAGGCACGGGGGCGAAGACATGGACAAATCGCTTGCAACAGGGTGAACTCCTCCTAAACTTAGCAAAGGACCTGCTCACTAGCCATTGAATGTGCCCAGAACTGAAAAGGCGCATATGTTCCTACAAAACCCTCAGACTCATTGTAGAACAACAAAAACTTGGGATCAGGCCCATCGAGATTCTAGTTGCTTAGGATTCGCCCGAGCAAAATGAACAAGGCCAAGAATCAGCTCCAATGGGGTTTGGATTGGTGGTTTGCAGGCTAGTGGCTTCCCATGTTCCCTCCAAAAAACAAGGGGTCAGATCCCCAAACACAAATCCAAGCAACCTATGAAGGGTTCCCGGCTTACCTGAAAACAGGGTACCCTCAAACACCCTCTATATATATATATATATATACATCACCCCAGAGTGCGGATCGCCCCCCCGTTGCTCTCATTGAGACATGCATCCCATGGTTTGGCAGGCACTTTCAGGAGGCTCGAGCCACTCTGCGCGTCGGGCGAGTGAATGGCTTGATTCATGGCGAATACTTGCCCCACTTCCTCAGTGGATCGGCCAGAAAAAATCAAAATTGCGTTTGCTTACCACTACAATGCTCTTCCCCATAAATATCAAGTCCAGAAACTTAGCAAGTGAGTGATTTATGATTGCAGCCTGTGGCAAGGCACCTTTTGCTCGATCATCTAACTTGCTGCCGTTCTCTTCCGGCTTCTTTCGTGTCGTTCTACGCGCGCAAACTCCGCGATCACTTGCTCGCCGCGATCGTCCGGCAACCTTCGTGCGGAGCGCGGCGCGGCGCAGCGTCTCTCGCCGCAACCGGGAAGCCGCGGTCCAGGGAGCCCACAGGCTGTCTGTCGCTTGGGCTCAGCTGTCGTTTGTGCTCAGCAGCCTGGGAAGGCAACAGAGGCCAATGGGCCTGCTTTGGTGGTGAGAAGCTCCAAGTCCGTTCCCTTAAATCGAAGCGGGCACTGAGGGATCCGATACGAATCCCAACCTCAAGAAGTCCGCTACGCAACTGTACCGCTACCCCGCCCCCCCCGGGCAAGATGCCACAGAGTCTCTAAGTTTTTGCCCCCTTTTACACATCACCCCGCCCGAAGGAATCTCGCTAGGTGGCCCTCGGTCCACGTGGTGTTCAAGGCAACATTGGCCCTGTAAAACCCTGAAGGTTGGGGCTGTATGTTGGCTGGAGACTCCATGCAGCGGTTTGATCTGGTTGTTTGGGGTTCAGGATGTAAAGCGGCGAATCCCCGGAGGACAGAATAGGCGTTCTCCCAAAAGTATGGGGACCCCTGACACACCGAGCGTCTCGTGCTTTGACAGGCGCCAGCGCTTCCACAATGAGCCTGCCGTGCCTTGGCATGACTAGCAAAATCAAAGGGTTGGCCTTTTGGGACGAAGCCTGGACACGCCTGCAACACCTGGGAATGCGGCAGCAGTAGCGGGAAGGGCAGCAAGGCAGCAAGGCAGGCAGGCAGACTGACGAACGTTGCACACGTTCCAGGTGTGTGTCTAAACGGGGCAACCTGACAAAACAATGTTTTGCTTTTAGTTTTCTGGTTTCTCTTTGAACCCCCCAAGAAGATCGCCGAGCCTTCACAAAAAGGAACCTTGGTAGGGCAGTGTCTTGTGGCTTTCCTGCAGTCTTCCAACAACACGCCCCCAAAAGTGGCTCAAACAGGACCATTGATAACTTGCATTTGCTGAAACCCCTGCAAAAAATGAGTCAATATGTCGAACATGTAAAAAGCAAGATCATTTCGGCAAATGGAAGATCCATTGGGTGCCCCTTGGAACCGTTGCAACCCCAAAAGCCCCGTCTCCCCCGGAAAACAATTCCCCGCGGCGAGGGGCTGTCGCCCACCTGCAGCTCCGATTGGCTCGGGGTAACCGCGGGGACCAGCCAAAAGAGCGCCCCGATGCCCAGCAGCGGCAGCAGACCTCCGGAAAAAGTTGACCATGGCACTGTGTTGGGTGTTGTCAAAGAGCCTGTGGGTGGGTTGCTATGATAGGGCCGTAGGGCTCAGCAATTGGCAGGGTGAACATTGTTTCAAGCACCGTGCACACTGCGGATGGTTGCAACATCTGCGTCTTGCGCCACCGTTCGGAAACCATGGTTGAAACCGCAACGTTTGTTGGTATTTACAGGAAAAACATCAGAAACCAGGATGGGTGTCAAAAGGTCCTCAAAGTTGCGATCGAAAAATCAACTAAGAGGGACCCTAGAAAAGACACGCCCGTACCGGTACCCTAGAATAGTCTTTAAATTCCAACGTCGGCGACTTTTAGCAACACCCAAATCGGTGAAACCCTCCCCAAAACGGCTACCGCTCCTCTCTCTCTCTCTCTCTCCCCCCTCTTCTCTCTCTTCAAGCCAGGCTGTTGTTTGATACAAGTGCACGAGCAATTGTGTTGTCAACACACGAACCGTCAAACCAGTAGTCTGCGCCGCTCCCATTTTGCATGGGCTCATGTCGTGACAAAGCTCAAGGCCTGCGGTCATGTGCAAGCTATGTGGCACCCAGTGCACGAGCTGCTATCTTGTCAACACACAAGCAGTCAAACCTGCAGTCTGCACCACTCCCATTTTGCCTGGGCTCATGTGGTAATAAAGCTCAATGTACAAGCATGTAATATCACACCACATGTACATTGACTTGACACGGCCCCTCAGTTGTAATGGTCTTGTAGTATCTTACAACCGTAGCAAAAGAGATGGACAGTATTGATGAGAGCATTGCTGTTCATCAATGCTACGGTCGTGACATTTAGTCGCCTTCTGTTCAGGCTCAGTAGTCAAATGTTGTGCAGTGAGGGAAGGGGGAGAAGCTGTTGGGTGTTCATCAGCAAGTGGTAGTCCCAAGTGTAGCCGTTGGACAGGGTGTAGTGTAGTGTGAACTCGTTGAAGTTGAAGGGGGGTAGTAGTTGAGTCGAAGGTTAGTTGCTCATGATGGGTGTAGAGTGGTTGATGTAGTCACGGAGGATGAGGTAATCCAGGGAGTTGCCCCTTAGTAGTTGCTGGATGTAGTCCGCAGGTAGTGCTGCTGTGACCGCACGTAGTCGTTGATGTGGTTTGAAGTTGTGTGTAGTTCCGAAATGCTTTAGTAGTGCCAGAGGTTAGCATCTGATGAAATATGCGTCATTGGAAGTCGGTTGTACGTGTGTTCATGTAGTTTGCCTGGTAGAGGGTGAAGTGGTAGGAAAGGTGTAGCGGGTTCTGAAGTGGCTGTGGCGTAGAACAGGCTGAGGGTAGTGGCACCGTGTCCTGAAGTAAGAAAACAGTAGCCCCCAACCGTCAATTGAGATGTAGAACTTGGTGCGCTGAGGTGTAGTTGGTCGCAGTACCGTATTGAGTGATGTGCAAGTTGAAGTCGCCTGAGTTGTAGATGTCCTGTAAATTGGAGTTGGGTGGACGTGGAGTTGCCGTGGTCGGTAAGTCGTTGGTCAAAACGAGCCTGCAGTTAAGCAAAGTTGCGCGCCGGTAGTTGTGTCAGTGTAGTCGCCTCCGGGGTGGTGGACATTGCCACCTCGTCTTCCGGAGTTGCAGTCACGAAGCGATCCATGGCTGTAGCGACCTAGACACAAAAGCGCAGTGAAACAGCAGCGTAAATGAGCCTGTGTAGTGGCTTGCAAAAGGAGCAGACATTATGCAAATACACAAACAAACACATGTAGTGTTGACTGATGCCGCCAATGCATGCTGCCAAAGGCGCAAGTGACATGACAAGTAGCTACTGCTACACACATACAAAATTTTACATGTAGCTGCTACATACAGCTGGTCTGGATTTGTTGTGAAACAGTTGTGTGGCGGTCGTTCGTAGCGCTAAAAGTATCCCATTGCACTGGGTGAGCCGTTGTAGCGCTTCCGTACTAATGTGTTTGGTGAACAAATCTGCGCTGTTATGAAGTCTGTTGATGCAAAGAATTCTGATGGTGTGATGAGGTCTTGTGCGTAGAGAAATTTAAGGTCGATCGATGTGTTTTGCTTGTTTGCTCGTGCCTTGTTGTGTAGCTCTGCTTTTGCCTGCTGTAGAGTCTGTGTGAACGCATAGGTTTAGCTTGCTGCAAATGTTTGTTTCAAGTAGGAAGTTTCTGAGGCGTGTCCCTCATTTAACTCCTGCGCAATCAGATACTGCTGAACTGAGTCCTGTTGTAGCCTGTGTCCTGCTGTGACATGCAACTGTTGTTCCAAGGAACTGAATGTTGAACCTGAAGTGGGTTTCCCAGTGGTAGGGCATCCTGCCCAACGTTGGTGTTTGCTCTTAGTTTTGTTGTTCCTATGGTCAATTTGT